GATATCAGAGAGGTGAGCACAAGACAGTAGGAGGTTCTGTAGCACACATACACACCCAAAACAAACACACAAAAAGAGCCAGGGGGCCGGTTCAGCTTATTACACTGGCCATTACACAGACAAATGAGTTCCTGGCCTCCCACTGATAATCTGCCCCGTATGTCCTTTGCGTTGTTGCATTATATCACCCGGAAGCAGCTTCTGTCGAGCTTGGCCATTGCAGTGCATAAGAGTCCCTCAATAACGTGTGTACAGAGCTGCAAGCAGTGATAAAATCATCTTCAAAGACCAGTATCAGAATCAGAATTACTTTATGAATCCCTTGCGGTAAATTATTTATAGAGCAAAATAAAATATACTGTAAGATAATAATATAATAGTAACCAATGCTTATACTACCAACCCCCCACAGACACACATTGCACCATTTATTAGATATTGCATGATATGGGAGTTGAGAGGATGGAATGACCTGCTTGCAGTCTTGAACTCAATATTTGTGGGTTCAGGCAATTCCTCCTGGAGTCACTGATAAAGCTTTCAACAAATCCTGCAACAGGAATGGGTAACCACTGAAATAACGTGTGTGACCAGCATGAGGAGAGACATGCCACTGCTTTGGTATCTGTCCGCTAAAATTTGGAATGTTTCTTCAAATTTTAATCATAAAAAGACACTAGAATCCAAAATTAAGCAGAACACTTTGGCATGTATTGGCAGAGGGTATACTCTGCTTATCAATCCACAAATTTATTTTCCTTACAAATGTGGCAAGGGAAATGAACATGCTTTCATTCAATTTATTGATGTTGACCCAGTCATCTAATAATGAATCCTTGTCAGGCTGGAATATTCTACACTGATTAGATGTTCTTCACACCCGGCCGCCACAGTCCTGGTGCATTGACCTTTGCTGCATGTATTCCATTGACACTAGCAGCAAATGACAAAAAAAATGAAAGAAATGGCAACGAAAAACACATATAGTCATAAAGCTTGTCTTGTTAGACAGAAACGTCACCGTGCCACTGCCGCCATTTAACCGATGAACATAACCAGGAAGGTGATCTTTATTACAAAATCTAACAGGTCCAGCCCAGTTAGTCCTATTTGTCAATTCATGCTCCCATTTATACACACACTGTATCAAATCCGCCCACTGAACCTGTGTATAATTTAAGTAAAATAACTATATCTACTAAATAAAGAAACAAAAAAGTTTATTTAAAGGAGCATAAGGGAATGCTTTATTATTTTACATAGAAAGAAGTAAAAGTAGTGATGTGAAAAACTAAAGGCGTCTTTTTAAATGGTACGATGTCACAGTCCATTTTTCAGTGTTGTTCTCCAGTGTCTTGTTTACAAGCTGGACTGCATGTAGGTCCATGTGAATAGCTGCCACTCAGGGCCTAGCCCCCCTCCCTGTGCACTGAATGCCAGCGCCAGAGCAGCGTAGCTTAGGAGCAAATTGGCAGAGAGTGCCTAGTAGGTATTTTGCATGAATTAGGGAGACAATTAACCGAATACATTCACAAATGTCACATATAACGTGCACCACATTTATGTGACAGATAGCTGCTTTTGTCCCGAATAAGTTGAATTAGGTAATGACTAAAATTACAAAAAAAGTGAAGCAACAAAATGACCTTTGAGGTTAGCAATAACACACAGGGAAAATGGACAGAGAAATAAACAGTTCAGGAAAATCTAACCAGAGTTTTGTAATAAACCAAACAGCTAGAACCATGATGCAATACTCCAGTGTGATATTTCTGGACTTGTTGCTTCTCATGTTAAAGAGCATTTACAAGTTCATGTATGTATGCTGCTAGAAAGATGAGGGACATACTTGAGCTAAAAAAGACAACAGCAAAACGTTTCCACCCAAAGCAAGTGAGATTTTAAGATGCATCAACAAATTCGACTAAGTTTCACCTTGAGTGTTTTTGACCAGAGGTCGGTCAGCTGGAAACTTGAAAATGTGATCTGCTTCAAATAAGGAAAACTGCAAACCACAACTCAATTTGCTCTGGAAGTTATTATTGAAAAAAAAAAACACTAACGGGTAATCCATTTCAGAGGCACCACTTTTTTTTTTTTTAAAGAGAGAGAAAGCAAAACTAGGTGCATGAAGGTTTTAAAAGGAAACATCATTTTGGTGTCTATTCAAGCTGCTAAATCAGCAAGTTATGGTACCACTTTTTCCCCAGTTTTGGTCACTCTGTACCAGATTATTTTTCCAGATACCATAAAAAAAGAGTCATCTGCAACAAAACATTAATTCATTAATTCGGCACTGGCAACAATTTGTCAAACTGGCGAGGCAGTGAACTGAAGGAGAGCTGATTTCAGCAGATACCAGGAATGCTGAATGTATTCCAACAAAACTGCTCTATTTTACCTCTACTGAGCTTTAGACATCTGTCTGCTACACAACATGCAACATTTTGACATTTCTGCAGCCTTTTGGAAATCTATGAGCCGTTTCTGTTTGAGACAACAAGCGGTGCTTGAGAAAGCTTATCATCTTTGATCAGCTGATCATTCATCTGTACCAGCTGCTGAGAAATGGAAGTCAAACACAACATTTACAGCGAGATTTAATAACCAGCTGGGGGATAGTAAAAGATTTACAGAGGTAAAGGTCTGAGTCTGAAATGAAATGTATGGATTTGGTGTTAAAATACAGTTATTACCAAAATAAACAGATGGACAGGGAAAAAAAGTAAGCTTCTGATCATCTGACGGTTATCCCACATTTACTGCTCTTTGAGTTTATTCGTTTAAATGTTTGACTGTTTTCTACTTGACTGAATAAAAAAACCCTGAAAAGATCATTCAACACATGGTCCTCACACTGTTTTGAATAGCTGCTGTTCCCTAGCAAACTGGACCCCTCTGGATATTTGGGGCTGGGGCCAGGGTTTTCCCCCAATAGGAAGACAAAGAACAGACTTTTAGTATGCACTACCACCACTTAAAAACTCGAAATTGCTTTAGAAAAGTCCTTGAGGAGACTTATGATTACAGTGTGCTCTCCTTACTAATGAGAGGCTAAAGGCAGTTTATTGTGTCCGATAAAAAAGTTTTTGTTTATAATGAATACAACTGATTTCAATGGGCTGCTTTTCTACACAGAAACATCCCCTCTTCTCCTAACTTTAACAGCTTATAACATCTTATAGCCACTAGACATATAAAAAGAGTAATGCTTTTGATTATAGTTACTAAAGATTAAATGTAATCAGTATGAGCAATAAATCCAAACTCTGATCAATGCACCTCTATAAGATATGACAACTTTTTAATCTGGAAAAAAGGCTTAAAGTATATATATATATATATATATATATATATATATATATATATATATATATATATATATATATATATATATAAATAAAATTATGGTAAGGCTGGAACAATACATTTCATAATGAAAATCCTATTTTGGAAATCAAAACTTTCCAAAATCACAGAACCACTCATGGATTGGTCATGCTACCTTTAACGAGAGTAAGACAAGTTATTCTTGCACTCCAGGTCTTCAGGTGGTAGTAATATGCTTTATGGCCCTGTCACACCTTGTCGATTTAGACTGCATATGCCCGACGTCCCAGAATCTTCTAAAATGCAGGCATACGCTGAACTTTGTATGTATATTTTTAAGTTTGGCCGTATACATGGCATAGTCATAACGAGTCCAGAACTTATGTCCAATGACAGCCTAACTTATGCATAACGCGTGGCAGCATAATGTCCATGAAATTATGCACAAGCAAGTGTCGAAAGGGGGATCAGCTATGCGCCCGGAGACGCCCGGTCTGCATAAAAAGATGTCTTTTATCGCGAATCAACGTTTGCAGTCGTAGCATATTCAGCATCATGTCTGCTAAGAAGTTTATTGGTCATGGCCGTGGGCGTGAACGCAGGGAGGAACCATCACACTAAACTTCTCGCTCAACCTATGTTGAATTTGAAGTCTGGAGGAGAACTGATGGTTTCCTTCTGTGAACCCGTTTTATACCAAACACTGCGAATACGCCATTATACAGTAGCTGTAAGTTAGAGATACTTTCAGCGGTCAAGTATATACGTTCGAAGTAAGTTCTTGATAAGTTACGCACAAGTTACTCATAGGTTTTGGATAAGCTAGACACCAAGACTTATGAGTAACTTACACTTATCGTGTGTCAACGATCACATAACTTACACAAAACTTACCCATCACTTATCTAACATATTCCAGCGTTTTTGCCAGATTTTTTGTACATCAGGCACATGCAGGTCTAAATCGTCAAGGTGTGACAGGGGCTTTAAGGGGGTTTACCACCACACAGAAGGAAAGAGTTTCAATTCACATGCATGTGAGCCAGAAGTAGGAACTTTTCCACCCAGCAATAGTCCTTCAACAATATACTCTAGACAAGAGAGCATTCAAGGCCATGAAAACAATGAAACCCAGCAAATAGAAATGAAAGCTTTATCCATCATCTGGTAATACTCTGGTTTTAAGAAAGGTGACAGTAGCCGGTCCCAGATATTATCATTACCATAAATGTTCATATATTTTACCAATGGATTAAGTACAACTGTTTAATTTATGAACTTGTTCGTAAGCTGCACTCTACTTTATCCTCAACTTTATCCTCAACAAGGACTGATGTTCAACTCAGCATGCTCTTCTCTTGATTAATAATACTTGAGTTAATCAAGAAAACTGCTAAATTCCTCACTTGAATTAGAGTTTGTGTTTTAGGGTCCACTTTTTCTTTTTAATGAGTCAGAAGGTCAGTCAATACATTAAAAATAAATCAACCGTTTCAGGAATAAAAAAATAAAATAAAATATGTGTTAAAATAAAACCTGCTATTACCTGCTAAATGTACAACTTTTTTATTTCATTAATGCTTGTTTTGATATTAAAAATTCCTAACTTTATTTGCAGTAACGCGGGTGATAATACACCATTATTTGAGGAATTATTAGGCAAACCTCACCTTGTTGTACACCCCCCACGAAAGCTCAGTCTCAATCACCATGACCACGATGCCAAACATCCCGAAGATGAGGGCGTAGTCGCTCAGCCTCTTCCTCTTCTCGAACAGTGCCCTGCGATGACCCAGCTTATAGCCAATGTTTTGGTTCTTTCTCTTAGGGGCCTTGGAGGTGCTGCCTCTGGCCCCGGAGCCCGCTGCAGTGACCCCTACCTGCCTGCTGCCCCGCTCAGACTGTCCCCGCCTGCTCTCCACCAGCGCATGGTTCTGGTGGTAGATGGACATTTGGTTGGACATGGAGTCAGTGTTGTCATAACCTCTTCTGGGGTACGGGGAGTCTTCTTTAGAAGAGATCACAATCTCTGGGGGGCTCTGGATGGGGGGTGGATGAGTTGATGACTGGGTCTCTGAGTAGGTCGGAGGGGCTTCTCGCTGTCTGTCATGTCCGGCAGCAGCCGATGCCCCTGCAACAACTGAAACGCCACCCTCTTTGGTTTCGCTGCTGCTGTCTGATTCAATGAGGTTTCTCCTGGAGGCGCTGAGCCGACTCAGGGGCTTCATGACCCCGCCTGTGTACTTACAAGAACTCATGGCAATCTCCGTGAAGGGGTTGCTGTCCCTGCGGTGGACAAGAGGACTGGCCTGTCTGTGTTTGCTGCCCCTGTCTCTCTCCCTGTCACGGTCTCTGTCCCTCTCTCGCTCCATGGAGGGGGAGTGGGAGGAGTAAAAGAAGGCATTGTAGACAGGGGAGTTGTCTCCACTTAGGCTGTGCTGGGAACCCAAACAGGATGAAAGGGGAGTACTGGTGGGGTGCAGAGCATTAGGGATGGGCGGGGGAAGAGGTTGAGCTCCAGGGGAGGACAGCGGCAACTTGGGGAGGGATGCCGGAGGCAAGTTGGGTGTGGTAGAGGATGGCGATGGGGTGCTGCCATTCAGACGATCGATACTTGAAGCTCCTGTGTGGTTGGAGTGGTTTGAGCCTGGCATGTTGCCAGCCGTGGAGGGATGGGATATGCTGCCTAGGGGAAGGAGGAAGCGCTGGTCCTCATCCTCACTCCCCCCTAGCAGAGCCAAGCTCAGGGAAGGGGGAGGCTCCATAGTCAGAAAGGCTGTGGACACGCACCTGTCTACAGATAACACACAGGGGAGAAAAAGAAACACAGAGAGATAGTGATTACACATTTATTTTTTCATGTAACAGAAGAAAACATAAAAGGGTTGGACAGAGGTCAAAATGAACGGGGACAACATGTTGGGTGTGTGTGTGACAAAGAGGGTCAACAGAGTGCAGAGAAGCTGTCATAATTTGGAGGAAATGTTCTTCCTTGAGTCACATTTGAGTCAGCTGCCTAGCCAACCACCCTTTCATCCCTCTGTCTCCTTCTCTCACTTCCCACAGCTCTCCCAGCAATCTCTCCCTTAAAATGTAATTTGTGTTACATTGTTGTTGTTAGCCAGGAGCAGGAGGGGGATGAAAATCCTCTGGCTTTACCCCCATGAAAATGAAATCAAGCTCAGAGACTCTGAGGATAACAATTTCCCATCTGTCAATTTGCCTTGCAGAAGAAGCGTGGCTGCAAAGATGGCTTTGTTAACTATAAGTTGGCTGCGATCAGCTGCTACCGATTGATCAAAAAGCAATAACCTATTTTCAGTGTGATATAACAGATACCTTCAGCACCCCCCCACCCCTCACCTACCTCCGACCTCTTCTCCCACGATCCTTGCCCCCCAGGTTAGGTGCGTTCAGTCAGTGGCTGGTAGAAAAACAAGACCACCACACTTTTTCTTTCTCATGTTGTCACTGCCATCCCTTAATCTATTTTTTTTTCTCCACCTTTCGTCTCCTTTCAGCTCCTCCACAGGTCCTCGCGTCACAAAAAGAGAAAAACACAATTTGCGCGTCGTTTCAATAAACGGATGCCTCCTCTCTCCTCCTCCTTACTTTGAATGTTCACTTTGTTCCCCCCAAACCGTTCATCGCAGATGTATCGACGGTTCCCATTTCCATCCAGGCTCTGGGAGAAGATGATGAGGAGGAATAATCCACTGGATTAAAATATGCCAACCTGTGGCTGCGCGTCAACAAAATGCGCAAAATAAAAGGAGAGAAAGCGATGGAGGAAAGTCGCCTGGGTGTGATTGAACAATCCAAAGATGAGCAGTAAAGTCAGTGATTAAATATGTGACAACCGCGATTATGACACTCAATCCCCAGCTCCCTGTCTCTCCGTTTCTGTCTCTCACTCTCTCCTCCAACTTCTCAGCGTCCTTTCTCCGCCTCCAGACCGCCGCTCCCTCCTCATTGGATGGAGAGGAGAGCGCTGGAAACAGGTGGCAGCATTTGTGCGCGATGTGGCCGCCAAACGGATGCTTGATATACTGTACCCAGGTTATTTATGGGTTATTATTTTTACTGTAGCCTCACAAAACCCATATGGCTTGTATGGCCTATAAATTTAGCGACAGGACATTTGGTGCTGTAATGCACCTGTTAAAATACAGTTAAATATATAAGTATTACACTCAGACAAGCAAAAACATGTTATATGTAAATTAGAACAAATTATATATTAGCCTATACATATTTTAACAGTTTAAAGTCAGTACTATAACTCCTAGTAGTACTACTTGATATTTCTTTAACAGTTCTTTCGCAAGTAGAAGTAAAAAATAGTCTTTTAAAATTTTAAAAGATATTTAAAAGTAAGGGTAAAAATTTCCTGCTAAAATGTCAACTGAATGACTGTGTTGTTGTTGGCTCACAATATCTTGTTTAATAATCAATTCAATCCGATAAGGAGAAAAGACAGGCAGGAAACATAGCGCTTAATTTTGATAGATATGCATGAACAGGAGCAAAGAATAGGGCTGTTTCCCCCCCATGCCTGAAACTGGTGGTGGAGTGGAGATGATGAAGTTGGTCAGTCTGTAGACTGCTGGTTAGCGAGACAGTATGCTGAGCTTTATGGAGAGATCCAGTGGATTGCGTGAGCTGATACTAGAGCTTTTATCAGGGAACTGGAAGATGGAAGTTCAGTTGGATAACACAGGCTGAGAGAATCTGTCCATGATGAGCAAGCATGGAGCGACAGTGGGGAGGAAAACCTCCCCGTTGGGAAGAAACCTCTGGCAGAACCAGGCTCAACATGGCGGTCTTCTGCCGGACCGGATAAGAGAGACAGGGAACATAGTAAGAGTCCGGGATTAATGACACGCTGATGACGCTTTAGCTATGATGATGAAGGAGGGGCTGGAGGTGGGTTGAAACGGTGTCATCAGAATGAAGTCACACAGTGCATCCGCCGCCTGCACACAGGAACAAACAGGTGCATATCAAAGGCCTTTTAAGATAACCTTTGGATGCCGATTGGCTTTCATGGAGGTGTGGTTCAAAGCTGATTGGCTGTGACGCAGGTGGATGTATGAAAAACCAGAGTTTCTTCAGTTGAATTTCCGCTAGGCTCCATAATAATGTAATTAGACACAGAGTTACGTATTTCAACCTATAAAAATAAATGATTACAAAATACAAACATCACCTATAAGATTTATCTTTACAGCTACAATATGGTAAATGGTAAATGGCATGTACTTATATAGCGCCTTTATTCAAGTTAGGAGACTTGACCAAAGCGCTTTACACTACATTCATTCACCCATTCACACACACACTCACACACTGATGGTGGCAAGCTACATTGTAGCCACAGCTGCCCTGGGGCTCACTGACAGATATCTACTGTTTACTGTATATTCACCTGATCTCCAAATAGTTCAAGTTATTTGTGGTTGGTAGAGTAACCCAAATGTTACTTAACTAAAGGTAGTTATACCCACATAAGATTCTTATTTACCCTTAAGTAAAAGTAAAAGTTTTGTTCAGTACAACTACTAAAAGTAAAATTTTGCTAAAATGTATTCAAATAAATGTAACTGACTAAATATAATATCATCCATACAATATGTAGATTTTACAGCACACCAACTAGATCTCCATATTTGGTTCTGCGAGTTAAAGAAAATAATCTCAAAACATGGAAGCATGTTTTAAAAAAAGGAATTTTTAGTTAACTTTAGGTTTGTGTCCGTTTTTCTTTTTTAATAACATATTTGTTTGTTTGTTTTTTTGTTAGAGGATGTAACTGAAGTTTGGAGTACAATAGCATTTTACTAAAGCATGAGTCAAAAGTAGATTGCAGTAAAACTGCTCCTTTTTTACTTAGAGTAACTCAATCAAACGGAACTGAGTTCATGTGAACAGTTCCTACCTACCCTCTTTCACAAGTGATTGCACATGGAGCAGGAAAATGGATGGAATGGAGATTTGGTGAAGCAGGAGCTAAGCCAGAATCCAACATTTATTGTTTATCTACATTCCAACATTCACCTTAATGATCAGGACATATGCATCATGAACAAAGAAATACATTACTATATTAGAGCAGATGTGTCTAACCAACCTTTTGGTTGGAACAAACCACACTAATATGGTGGAGTTTCAATTTATATTGGTAAAGGGGAAAACCAAAACAAGGATGTTAATATGGTTTCTTGCCGAGGAACACCTAAAGATCCCCTAAACGCTATAATATGGCTTGGGAAACAGAGGTTAGGGTATCTCTCCTATGAATCACTCTCAAATAACTGAGAGTAAATTAATAAATGGGCAGAAGGACAAATTACTATTTTAAGGTGTACTTGTCCTTCACAGCTATACTAACTTTTAATTGTAAGATTTACTCCAGACATGGTTACCAGAAAAAAATGCCTCCCTCCACATATTAAACTGTGTATTTTCATTCAAAAGACTATTCAAAGGGAACAGTCTTGATCTCAATATAATCGCTGGCTTTGCAATAAAACAATGGAATGAAGACATTTCAAATATTTTACTTCCAAATGGTAAGTGCAAGAAATATAATTTTGGAGCCATGGTGGCTGGTAGACTTTGGTAAAAGCAGGACTTCAAATTCATTTTTAATTAAGACCTCATATAAACTTGGTCTCTTGTGAGAGAACAATGGATTATTTCAGTTTCCTTAGTGCAAAAAGTTTCCAGCTTCATTTTCCAGCTCTTTACTGTGGAGCTTTCATCTTCTCTGTTGCTCTTCACTATTCTAAAGCATTCATTTTAGAATAATTGGTTAGTCTAACTTAATATAAGGTATAACTGCCTGTGCACATATTGACCAGAATTTACTCTTGCTGCTCTCCCACTGACTGCTGGAGATAGCTGCAAGTCCCAGAACCAGCTTTATGAGGATTAGACAGTTACAGAAAATGAATCAATGCATTTAATTCAATTTTATTCCCATTCGTAGTATTATTATTAATAATAAAACATAAAGCACAATTCACCTTAAAACATCACAGGTTTAACATAATCCTACATAATTATACTACTTTACCCATCCTAATCTGCTTCCTTTTATATCATAGTTTTATACCTTTTCACCTTAATCGGATTAAGGTTGAGGGGAAACAGATTAAAATGTTTCCATATCACGGGTCAGCCTACCCTGCAGGCTATTAGGGAACCTGATACATATCAATAGAGAAGATAATATCAAGAAGAAGTCAAAGCCAGTAAACCCACCATATGGTAAACTCTTGCTTTTGTACGTAATATCAGTGCCTGAACTCATTTTTCAATCCAGTCTCTGGATTTCTTTGTGCTTTTGTGGTTTCTCAGTTTTTTATTTTCTCTAAATCCTTAGTTGGATAATTTCATCCATCTCTTCCTCATGACTTGAAATAAGCATGGTAATTTGCTGCATCTGCCCTGGGCACACTCGTGATGGGTCAGTGATGGAGAGAGGCTGGTTCAACAAGCTGGAAATTGTTGGAATCTAGGCCTGAGGAAAGGTCATAGATCACAAGTGCTCCCCCTCAGATCAAATCTACTTTTTTATTTAGTTAGATAAGGGAGGAATATTATAAATTATATTTTTTTTACACCTTTGTAAGTAATACAATTTCTTGATAAATCTCTCCTTTTAAGCTTTACTTCAAGTTGCCACTTTTCTAACTTCCTGAATCAGAGACAAGTAGTAGAGCACCACCTGTGTCACTGGTTTAATAATTTGCAAACTCTCTCAAGGAGACAATAAATAATTCATACATGTAACTTTCACCTTGATGTACATGCTTGACAGACATATTTGAAAGAAAACTGTGCTTCCTGGTAGGGCTGGGAACACTTCTTCCAGGAAAGCAGAGAATGACCAAAGCACTAGAAGGTCAACAGAGAATAGTAAGCTTGTGTTGGGAAGATCCAAATTGGAGGGCATCATCAAAAATTATGCTAGTTCAGAAAATGTAATTCTTCCTCGAAAAATACACCAGAGTATTTTAATGTTTTTACTTTATTATATTTTGTAGAGTACGGTGCTTCTGGTGAGTTCCACTTAACTAGTTTCCTGTTAAATCAAAAATAGGATTCAAAATCTATTTTCTAAATTCTGTCATATAAAGCCCTAAATAAACAGGTTCCATTTCATTTCAGAGATCTGATTTTTATATGTATTCCTAAAAGAGCACTTTGCTCTTAGTCTGCAGGTTTACTAGTGGTTTCTAGAATATCTAAGTAATTCAGAAGACAGGTTTATTTTAACCATCCGGCTTCTTTCCTTTGGAACGAACTACCAGCTTTAGTCTGCGAGGCAGACACCCTGTCAACTTTTAAGACTAGACTCAGAACTTTCCTTTTGATAAAGCATATTGTTAGAGTAGCTCAGGTTATGCTGAGCCATTTCTACATTTATGCTGCTATAGGCTTAGGCAGCTGGAGGACAAAGGGAACACTTTTTATCATTCTCCTTCATTCTATGTAATTTCTACAATTCTACAATGTTTGTTTCTAACCTAATGCTCTCTGCTTTTTCTGATCATGGCAGCTTTATCTGGTCTGGTCCCGTTTGTCTGTGAGACCATCCTTGAGGGAAATACCAGCTGTGCTGCTGCCATAAACACCTTTGATTATAGATTATAAAACTGGACCTGCTAAGCCCTGTTACACTCCTAGACTTACCAGTGGGCTGAGCTTTTAATGTGACTGCTTGTAACACTGCTTGTATGTCTGCTTCTCTCTCCTTGAACACCCCAATTGGTCTTAATAGAAGGCCGTTCACACTGAGCCTGGTTTTGCCGGAGGTCTCTTCCTTTTTAAAAAAAAACAAAACATTTTCCCTCTCCACTGTTGCTACATGCATGGTCGGTATGAG